GATTATTCCTCTTATTTTCATTTTTATATTAAAAATTTATTTTTACGTAAAAATGAAAATAAGAGGTACAACCATCAATGATCCTGATCTTGATAAATGTTATCCTAGTCATAATCCTGAACAACATTCAAGAGATTTTAATCGTCGGTTGAATACATTACACTTTGGGTAATGCTAATGCCGGCGGTATTGTAACTTTCAAGCATCATAACTCAAAAACTACTTAATGAAAAAATATTTTCTTATAGCGTTTTGGAAAACTCTTAACATCAGCTATTAGATTCTGGAAACAAAAGTAGGATGTTCTATTTAAAAAAGTCGATTTGACCTTGATTTGACCTTGGAAACGCCATTCAAAGTCAAACTGATAAGATCAGTACATAGATTTTTTTGAACTCAATAACTTTTGTCTGAACAATTTTTCTCAATAATATCGTATTCCCGAGATAAAAATTTTGTAACGCTTTATTTTGAACACTTGATATACAGGGTGTCCTGGAATTTTTTGCTAACCGCTCTTGTGTAGATAGAGCGGACTAAACTGAATCGAAAAGTCCTCTACCATTTTACAATTTTTGCAATAGTTAACAAGATATTAATTACTAAAAATTGCCGAACATTGATCTCCAATATCTTTTTTTTTTAAATACTATCAATTCTACAGGAAAATTGCAAGAGACGAAAAATGTTTATTTTCTTCTCATAGAGCTCTAAGAATTACAACTTTTTACTGTATTTTCTTATTGGCAACTATTATTACCAACATGAAAGAATACGGTATTAAAAAATTCTGAAAAAATTCTGAAAAAATTCTGAAAAAATTCTCAGAACTTTATGAGAAGAAAATAAACAATTTTTGTCTTACGTTGTTTTTCTGTAAAGTTAATAATATTTGAATAAAAAATGATTGAAAACCAATATTCAATGATTTTTAATTATAATTAATAGCTTGTTAACTATTGCGAAAATTGCAAAATGGTAGTGTACTTTTCAATTTAATTTAGTCCGCTCTATCTTCATAAGAGCGCTTGACGAAAAATTTTGGGACACCTTGTATAGGGACATATTATATATAATTACATTGTAATGTCCATGTATATTAATACAATTATGTATAAAATATTTTTTCCTGGGTAAATGAACAAATAAATAAATAAATAAATAAATAAATACAATTTGTACCAACATATAGCTCGGCGGAATCCTCCTCAGAGCATCTACAGAATTATTCCATTTTTCCTAGGAAACAATAGAAATCTAAGGAACAATTAAATAATTCCAATAGGAATTTATTTCGAATAATTTCATAATACGCAGTCTAATAAAGACTTGAAATCACGTTTGACACTTAATGTTGATTTGCTTGACAGTTGATATTGCGCCACGCTTCGAAACAAAGAGAGAAAAGGACATATAGCGAGATGCATAGTAATCAGTCGTAGCAAAATTTATTTTTTTGCAGTTGGCCTGGGTTTTGAACGGTATTCCGACTCGCAAAAGGGGCGTGGTTTACTCAAACTGATCACACCATGTTAATTCCTTCCACCATGGGTGGACCTCGCTTCGTATGGAAAATCGTAAGGTAAATGTCCCAATTAGTGACAAAGTTATCTTGTGGTAAAAATGAATTAAGCTCCGAGCCGAATAAACTCCAGCACTAAATAAGGCCCACTTTTAAATTTATTACTTTAAAACTCGCTTCACGCCTACAGTATATGTTTAAAAGATGTGTTATAGAAAGTAGATAAAAAGGGATTAAAGAATGGAATCGGTAGCAACACATTTGTTTAATACAACAAAAATTTGTGTATATGAGCTATTTTTATAACATTTTTATAACAGTCCGCTGCAAAATTCACTAGTAAATTCACAATGTTTCATAATATATTATAGTTCATTATAATATTATTCAACTTCCTAGTTATGGAAAATAACAAATACATCAATTTTTTGAAATGAGTATAAGTATTTCTTTTAAACAATATGCTTATTAAATAAAGCCTATTTATGTGACTATTATTATAGCTATTGTTACACCAGCAATGAGCGGTCTTATAAACTCGCGCTCGCGCACACGGTTGCGCTCTCGGTAATAAAAGAAACACTTGTGTGATGTATAGAAGGAACACTTTATTGGATACTATAGATGAATACAGCGTGCGGAAAGAAAGAGCGTGACAAAGCACGTCCGTGCGGACGGTTCGACACGAAACTTGTTAGTACTTGAAGTCGTTTAACAGTCGCGCATCTCATTGCCCAGAGAACGTGCTCTTTGTTTTTCTAAGCTATGGTTCGATGCAACCTGGAGCTCGGCACGAATATAACACTCCTTCTAGATTGTCATCCAATCAAGGCTCGACGATTAAATTTATCCGAGGAACTCAAATTTCATTCCTGGATTTTTTAATTCTCGGACGCTTTTCTGCCTTAATCCACGCTGTCGAGATGGAATACTGGGCTCCGCTTTTATCAGAATCCGTTCCTCTTCAATCGAAGGCGCTTCAAGCAGCAACATTCCCTCTGCCCAGAAGAAATATTATTTAGCTGGCGTGATTTTTGTGGTTTCATATTTTGATGATCTATAAGCCAGCAAATACATCGGGATTCATCGGTCCCAGTGCTTCTGATTTTCAGAAATATACTTCGCTAAATAATTTGAATTTTTTCGATGTTGATGTTCATCTGTTTGTCTAATTAAGGATGTAAAGCGGTGTAAAACTACTGAGTCCTTGTTTTTTTTCATTCCAAATAGATTTGTTAATTCCTGAAAAATTTTTTAAATTTGCCTCAAAGTTCTTCTCTTAATCCGTATGGATTTCCAAAAAAACCCTATGTCTGGATATCAACTGACTTAAAAAAATCTCCGAATAGTTTTGGCTTTAATGTTTTTCAACGGAAAAAAGGCTTCCACCCATTTAGTAAAATAGTCGGTCACCACAAGCAAATATTTGTTCTTCGACAATGTTATCCTCCTTGGAAGGAGGCCAAGAATGTTCATTTGCACTCTCTCTCTCTAGCGGAGTAATTTTACGTGACATTTTACCGACATTGTAAATTTGTAATGGGGATTTTTCCCTTTCTCAAAGGACCTTTACCTGCGATACAAACTTTACATGTTCTGCATCAATCTTCTACATCTCGCAAGTTGCTCAATAAAATCGCTTACGGGCTTTCTCCAGGATCTTATTGACTCCAAAATGCAGAATCATGAATTTCCTCTAATATTTGTCTAATTCGACCCCTAAGAACAATTAATTGCAAAACGTTTTTCTTTAAATTTGATTCCCACCTTTTATAAAAGACACCGTTTCTAATCTCAAGAGAATCCCAGTATGTCCAGTAGACTTTCGCGGAAACGTCCCTTGGCGCAATTTCCTATCAGCGTGGGCGCTCCCCAACCTCTTTGCGTCGAAGAATAACAGAAATATTCGGATTCTTTAGCTGCTCTTTTCGCCAATCCTCAGACCTTTCTTCAAATAACGATTCGAGCAATAGAACTTTCTCGCTTTAAAGCTTCCTTTATTTTCATCTGATAACAATATCGACAATCGGCATAAGGGTGTCTGGAAAGTCCATTCGCATTTTTATAAGAAAACTTCTTTCGATGTAGCACCTCAAAATTATAGTTGCTGCAGTCTTTCTATTCAGCACGCCAACTGTTCTTACAGATCTATAAAGGACATTAGTCACTTGAGTGAAACGTTCGTTCGGACTTAAAATTTCTTTCCATATAAATAATGATGGAAAAATTTTACCGATTCGACAATGGGCAATAGTTTACGACGCATCACGTTATAATTCCCTTGTTCAAAACTCGGCTGAAATAAGCGATAATCTTGTCATCGTCCCCTGTTTGTGTGTCAAGATTATCTTAATTCCAAAATCGGACGCATCAGTATTATAAAAACATACTCTCCCTCCTCACTTGGAAAGGAAGGAAGTTCTTCTTTTAATTTATTAAGATTAAGACTTTTCTTCCCAAATAAATTTTATTTGATTTTCTGTAAGCGTATAGAGCGGTTTTACTATTAAAAGAAATCCTTTTATAAAAATTTTTGTGATAATAAGAGCAAAATTCCCTCAAAATTTGCAAATGTTTTTTATTTCGAGGAATAGGCCAGTCTTTCACAACCGAAATTTTTTCAGGATCTGCGTTAATACTCGCGCTCGAGATTAAGTGCTCTAAATACTTTATTTTTCTCTTAAAGAGAATACATTTTTTAAGGTTCATTTTCAGATATACTTTTCGCATTCGCAGAAACTCTATTTTTAAATTCATAACCATTCCTTCAAAACTTTTACTAAAAATAATAATCAAGTTATCAAGTATACATATAACTAACATAAATCAAGGCTAATGAGAGTCAAATATAGATGATCAGGCGTAAAATCTTAAAAAAATAATGAAATTATGAATTTTCTATCAATAAATGATATCTTCTTTATTTTGAAAGTTTCAACTCACTTTGGAATCCTCCTCAGCAACATAGATCAATATAACAAAAAGTTTATATCCAAAAAGATTATATTACTCACAAATTGCTAGAAATGAAGTGATATAAAATCTGACAATACAAGAAAACTAATTAGTATGGAAGAATGAAAAACATTAAAAAATAGAGTGACTTATCTTAATAGATAGAGAGCGTGTCAAAAAAAACTTTGATACATAATTAATCACAAAATTATATTTGTAAGAACGAAAAAGCAGATATAAAGATCGGCAGTGTCTGTATCACGTCCATACGTTAAGACATGTTGCATAGTTTAAAACAATATTAAAATAAGCGAAAGATCACTTAATAAATATTCTAGCTAAGCATTGAAAAATATAATATATAAGAACATGAAAACAATATAAAATTCACATTATGGCCATTATATAAATAAGCCGAATTTAAAATTATTTATTTGGAACTAGTGCCTGATCCACGTCTAGTGCTTTTAACCTATACATATGTATACAATTTTAGCAATTAAAATGGAATTATATATTGCAGATGATCTTTTGGATTAGTTTTCCCGGTTCTTCCTGTCTTTGAGATAGACATTGACGATATGGTAAAGACGTTTGACAAAGTGCTATGTTATTTGTTTTAATGTTTTTAAGAACTATAATAGTTTAATGGATGTCGAGAAGTACATATGAATGATTATTTTCAGGATGCAATATGGCCTTAGTACTTTGGCATGTCTCTGGAAATAGTTTTCTTTCACCAATCTTCGTGTTACTGTTGCTACTGTGTCCGCACAACTCCACAGGTTAGTAAAAAATACATTGAATAACTTTTAAAACATTTCACGAATTTAGCCGAGGAAAATTAAACCTTTTATGTTTTGGAAGTAAAATTACTATAAAAGATTTGTCTGTGGGAAGTTGTTCAAAATGAGGTATTATACAATGTACTGAAATAATAAAAAGAATAAAAGTTCTGACCGCTAGCGAACTTGGAAAACTTTCCAGCTTCAAAAAATTGACCAAAAATGCGATTTTTCAAAAATATTTCAGTAACACTATTCTTTGGGCCGCTTCAATTTGATTCCTACAGAGTTTTTTAATTTAATATTTGGGATGTAGAATCACGTAGAAAAGGAATTATGTGCTGAGGGAATTATTCGAAGTTATGATGAATCGTTATTTTTTAGTGAAAATCGAAAAATTCGATCGCCGGCTCGTGTAAAGAAATACGGTAGTATCGCTGCGCTTTTTTTAGCACCGAAATACTCGTACTACCGTGTGTCCTGAAATATTCCTTTTTCTTCTTTTAACTTTTCTTTAAATCATATAATTTTTTTATCTATAACAAAATATTTTGTAACTCATCAAATAGAAAATAGGAAATCCTAGTAATAACGGTCTAAGCTAGGATTTTTTAAATACTTAATTTAGTGCTCGCAAAGATTTGCACATTTTTGGCTGATTCTGGCGAGCAACTCCCACCACCGTTTGAGGCTCGGTGGCTAAGCCGCCCAGCGTTCACGTGACGCTCTGGCTCAGGAGCGTTCCTATATCAGAAATATACTGGGAGCGCATCTTCCGCCCAATTATTATTGAAACATGTTTTTTTATTAAATAATTTATTTCCATTAATATAAAATTTTCTATGGTTAATTTATTCATTGTTTTTTAATGATATACTTATATCTTAACGTAGTTTTCTAATACATTACATCATTATGATAACATTTAGCTTTCGAGATTATTTGATTCTTCTTTTTGTGAAATAGGCCTATTGAAGAAACCACATTTAAAAAAAACGCATCTTACAATAGTACCTCACGGATAATGTGGAAAGATATTGTCGAAATGTACGTTATCATAATTATATAATGTATTATATTAGAAAACTAAACGTTAAGATATAAGTATATCATTAAGGAACAATGAATAAATTAACAATAAAAATTTTTAATAGAAATAAATTATTTAATAAAAAACATGTTTCAATAATAATTTGGCGGAAGGTGCGCCCCCAATATATTTTTGGTATAGGGACGCTCCTGAGCCAGAGCGTCACGTGAGCGCTCGACAGCTCCGCTACCGAGCCTCGAGCGATAGTGGGAGGTTGTTCGCCGGAATCAGTCCGAAATGTGCAAATCTTTGCGAGCACTGACTTAATTAATTTAAAGTGAATTAATATATACTATATATACATATATACCATATTGTAGTCATTTGAATTACGCGCCGAAATTTTTCCGGACTTAAAACGCAGCTAACCTATTGAAATAATATTACAATTAAATTTTTGATGGTCTATAGGCATTTATTAGAGAGATCTTAATAACATATATTTTGTGTTTATGACATTTACTTTCAGAGATAATAGATTGTAAGATTTTATATGCTCCATCTTATATATATAAATAAGTTATATTTACATTAGTTTCATTATCATAATCATTTTTCATTATCATTTACACGTTTATAACATGGTGTGGTGTGTTCCCGGTGGCGGTGAATGTTGTCGCGGGATCCATGAATCATCGCACCCTCCCTCAATTCAGCCCGCGAGATATTTGATGCACCACTACCACAAGACTACTTTCCATTACTGCCACCACCACCGGGAGGATTCACTACTGCCAAAATACTAAGTATATCTTGTCGTCTTGTGTTTTTTTCTATTACCTTCTCTTTGATAGCTGATCTAATTGCAAAAGATTATATCGATTTGATTCACAAGCGGATTGATCAAGCAATTTTATAAATTATAATAACTTTTTCTGATTTCCAGAGTGCGACCAAAAATTTGTAAGCACTCCTGATGGACCGCTGAACGGAAGTTTTCATGCACCGACGTTGATCAACCCCGAAGGAGAGCCACGTCAATGCGTTTACACATTTCTTGCAGGGCCACGTCAGCGTGTCGAATTGATTTTCACATCATTTGGCCTTCGAGGAAAACCGCCAGAGTGAGTCTTCGTTCTCATTTCTAGAGAATCTCTAATCAGAATCACGTAACATAATTTTGATTAGTATCGTCTTTTTCAGCGAACTATATAAAAAAAAGTGTAATACGAATGTATATGTTAGGTTCAAAGACCGAAAATGCTCACAGATCGAAAAAATTGATCACAACGCGTTATGGTTTTTGAGATTCAGTCATAATGTGAAATGTGTGTCGTGGCCATTTAAATAATGCTTACATGTTCTGGCATGTTTAAAAAGTCGATAAAATAAATAATATTGTGATTCTTTTGACAATCAACTAATACGTATTTTTAGGCTGAGTTAAAATGCCATAATAACGCGATCTGATCGTTTATTGTAAATATTAGGTATATAATTAAGTTTCTGCTATTTTAATTATTAAAATTCTTTTATTAATACAAAAGAAATATTAATACGACAGAGAACGCTATTAGCAGTAAAAGTTAGATGTTTCGAATAATATAATATATGTATATTCTTTATTAAATCAATTTATTTCATGATTGTGTGCCGAAACTTTCGGACTTTTTACACAATCAGTCTGAAACGCTAATAATCTTCCCTAAATTAAATTAGAAAAATTGTAAAGAACTTTTTGTGAAAAATATTATCTCAGTCAGAGTTCGAACCTGTGACCTCTCGACTTATCGGGGGGGGGGGGGGGGGG